AGCGCTATCTCGGTGTAGCGGGGAGTACTGGATGACATGACAACCGAAAGATTCATCATCCAGATGGTGATTAGAACACAATTTCATATCCAGGGTTAAGACTCTTGTTCTGCTTGATTGATGGACTCATCAACAAGAAATTTGTGTCGTTATTTTGTTGGAGGAGGCATCTCCTTAGTGATGTGTTGGCCTTGAGTGGTTGGTCTCGGTAAACAGGATGAAAATCCTTGTCTTGGCCATCTTTGGCTGGACATAGCGAGGCTTTACTCCTTGAAGGTGTTGTTGTGGAAAAAGTCGACTTAGTCACACCTGCTAAATTCATATCTTGTAATGATTATGCCATAGTTACCTATGTTATATACTCCGTTGTTGCTGATTTTAATCTTTACTACTATAAAAATCTAAGTTGGTGATCATGGTATGCCTGTCATCTTGTGTTTAGGATCATCGGATGTGTATCTAACGCACAACACAAAGCAATATTTGCAATTTTACAGAAAGACGACTGCTTCACGTCATACATTTGCAGACAGCCCCTCCAAGTCCCATCTCTCCCCAACTCATCCAAATCCATCCAGAAGGTGCTGGAAGAACAATCAGCCGGCGGCACTGGAATAGATCTCGCGTGATGGCCGCTGCTGACGTCCTCCACGCCCATGCCTCTCACGCCTGCTCTCATCATCCCGAGTACCCACCACCACAAGCCCCTCCTTATTGCCATCTCCCCCGCCCCCTTTTGCCCATCTCCTTTGGTGCCGACCTCGGCAAGCACGTACGCCGCCGATGACGTTCATCCGCCGACACATCCTCATGTTATGCCGCAGCACAACCGCCGAACATCTCCACCACGCCGCCCTCTTCAGCGTCATCCCCTCCACTCCACCATCTCCTACTATTCCACTCCCGCAAGTATGCCACTGCCGTCGTACGTGCCCTGACCCGTCTCTTGGTTCCTGCTTCCTTTCTTGCTGCAGTAGCCCCACCACCCACCGATACCACCTCATCCTCTTCCTCATCACCATCTCCTCTGCCCGCTCCCCATATCCTCCGATGCCGACCTCTAGAAGTACGCCGCCGGCTGCGCCGCCACCTACTACTACCCCGTCCCTTTCAACGCACTCTATGGCATGTTCTGGTGTGATGGACATGGACACGTGCTCTGCTCAGCTACTGCCTTTCCTTACCAAACCTCACCTTGCCCATCCGCGCGCCAAGGTGGAACTATCTAGAAACATGTCATGTAGCCAAGTAATCGAGTGGGCGAGTAGATGAGATTCACTCTACTCGAACCACATCCCAAGAAGCCAACATGCTCTCACATTTCAGATCAAACAGTGTAAGGAAGTGGGATTCACTACCCGTCGCCTTCTGATCTCCTCTGTCAAGAAACAAGGTATGTTGTAAAAGCTACTATATATCTCATCAACTCTTGCTTCGTCTCTGTAGGCAAATGTAGCTTAATGCGGGCCTTGATTTATAAATGAATTACAAGTGTTGCATGAAAAATATGAACGTGAGTGCATGTTCTAATATTGTGTTAAAAGAAGTCTATTTTTTATATCCCAAAATTTACTAATGATCTTAATAGACGACTCTGCTTAATGCATTATGCATCTTGTCAATGTATTTAATTTTCCCACTGCAAGTTGTAAGTTGTTACCCTTATTGTTAGGTTAGCTTGTTGTGATAGTCTCTTGCGGAATGTTGTGAAATTCCATACTTAACTAGCAGAGTGCCCATTGCATTGCCATGGAACAACTAATAGGTGAAAAGGACACGCGTCAAAGGATTCCATTTAACTGCCACGGAAAAGCAAATGGATGTAAAATACATATGTCCAAGGGTTCTATTTAACAAACACATCCAAATGGAGCATAAGGTATTTTTGGTCCGGCATCAATTATTGTTCGCGGAGAGCCTTTGCCAAAGAATGCTTCATCTCGAAGGATGGTTTGTATTCCTAAAGTAGTTATTCGTAAAACAGCTAATACCTTCGATGGAATGTAAAAATCCAATGTCATAGCAGGATAATCGTTTACGGATAATAGATATGCGAATATCAAGTACTATCTTTTCTACTTAAATTTTGAAGTATTCATAGAAATAATATGATCAATGCAAAAAATAGTTCTTCTATATGAGTGTGAATGCGATTTTTATGAAGGCATTACAGGCTTATTGCATTGTTGATTGCAATTTTTTCTTAGAGATATCACACGCTTATTGTACTTCATATTGAATAATTTAGATATAAAAAGTTATAGAAGCTTCTAAAGTACTAAACTCAGAGGATCGGAATCCAGTTGAGCTCCATTACTGATTAAGTTATTGAACTACATCCTACAGGAAACATTAGAGATCATATGACCATTTCTTCCTGATGCTAAACCCAGAATACTCTATTCCAACATAAGTTGATCAAGTACACCCTTATCTAATACCCGAAAAAATCAGAGAGCAGTAGAACATTTGTTCCTGATGCTAAATGCTCCTTCGGGTTGTCGGTTCGATCAATTGTATCAATTTTCTTATCATGTTAGAGCCATCATGTCCTGAGATTGCCAACCGAAGTACTTCTCAACCCAACGATAGATAATTAACCTTCAGTTGGCAACATTTAAACATGCCTATAGTGTGACCTTTACATCTACTCAACACATTATTCCAAAAGCCTAGGATTGATCAACTCACATAAAAGAGACTGGACATAATTGGCACTTTCTTTGGGCCAACAAGTAGCCTTTTCACTTCTATGTGTTTTCTCTACCTTGGTTTGTGCTTGATCTGCTTAAATGTTGTGTGCCTGGCTGCTTGCAGCTTCCACTAGTCAGAGATGAATGACAGCAAGGGAGTAGCAGCAGTTGGTAGGCTCAGCCAAGGACTTGGAGACTGTAAGTTAATTGGTCTGATACCGTGGTATTAGATACCCTTATGCAAGAATAGCTTATTAAAATGATTTGGCATGACTTATATTTCTGTAGTTGTATTAGTGAGCAACCATCATGTGCGGAGTAAGATTGTTGCAAGTTACTGATATTTGTGTTGTTTGCCCGATGAGGTCTCGACTGAGGAATTGTTGTATGAACCCATGTATTTATGATCTACCTTTGTTTTTTCTTATTTATGGACCCAAGTTTTCCTTTCATCCACTCGTGAGTTTACTTTTTTCTGGCAATTTTGGTGATGTTATCATGTGGCGACATCAGATGCTTAGTCAATTCTGATATCTACTCCTATAAAAAAATCAGTTGGTTGTGATGATGTGTTTGCCTCTACATTTCCATGAGCTTTTATTTTGGGTTTTCAGATAACCAGCCAATAGAACAAACCACATTCAACCATTTCCTCGATTCCTCATGCTAGAATTCTAAATATATTTCTGCTTGGATCCTAAATTTAGTCAACGATGTTTCTATACATGTTTATAATTAAGAAACCAGTGGGTGTGTGGTTCAGGGTTCAAAAAATAAAATCAATTTTGCAATATATTTCTAGACATGTTTTATCTTTTGTAGCAAGGCACGGGCAACTTACTAGTCAACTTCAATAAAGATGGTTCCCTCAGCCAGAATTAATTTTGATCAGAGGGAGTATATGAAATTATAACCAATTATACATATATGTAAATTAATTTAGCACATATGACACGCGAATCTCAATGTAAAATCAATAAGGCTGGTCACAATGGGCAAGAACATAAGCTAGTAACTTACACACTTCCCTAGACTATGTTACTACCTCCATAGTGGGTAGGAACATCTATGTAGTGTCATGCAACGATGTATTTATTAGGTTATAGACTCATTGTTTCTTGGAGTGTGTGATGTTCCGGTAACTTAGCTAGTTACCACAAGCACCTTTCTCTTCATTAAATATGTGCCACATAAGCAAAATTGTATTGGAGTGTGTGATGTTACTCCTAAATTCCTCCCCATTGTGACCAGCCTAACATATGACTTAGATGTGCAATACTTATGACACATCTAGATATGCTTTAGCAAAACTGTTTAGCATAAATCTTATCTTCAATAATTACTTTCACAAAAACAATACGTAGAGAAGGCGTTTCCCACACATGCTGCGGGTTACCGTGTTTATATGTGCTTGGTTGAATCGTTTAACTCGTATGTTTCATCTCTGGCCAAAAGGACAAAAAAAAAATAGTGTAGACGTGTAACAAACAAAGTACCACTCATCATCAACATGAAAAGAAGCCGATCATGCATATGAACAACGTTAACATACAGCAGTATCGTCATAAAATTACCATGTACATATAACCTGATGCATCATTATCACCGATCGAATCCAGCATTCAAACTCGACAATTAAAATTACAGGACGTCCATCATCATCGCCACCCGCCAATAACTACCGGTCGATGAACTAGCACGTACGCATATACGACGTACGAGATTAGATGTCGAAGGAGTTCTTGCCGGTGAACTTGACCTCGATGGGGCTGACGTTCTTGCCGATGCTGCGGAAGTTCTGCCCCACGCCCTGCCTGCCGGCGTTGACCTTCTCCGGGTAGACGCCGTCCTTGGGGTGGAGGTACTGCACCTCGCCGTTGGGGAAGACGCGGTAGAACTGGTAGGCGATCTTGTACTTGGAGCGGAGGCGGTTGCCGAGGGCGAGGCACTGCTCCTTGCGGGCGAGCTTGAGGAGGTTGGGGCCCTCGCGCATGATGGCGGCGCCGCCGGTGGGCATCTCGAACACCTGCTCCTTGGGGGAGGTCCAGGTGATGACGTAGAACTCCTCGACCTGGGCCTTGCGGAGCAGGCCGCCCGTGCTGCCGCCGAAGATCGGGGACGGGGTGGACGGGTCCAGCTGCGGCGGCACGAAGCCCGCGGGCGCGGGCTCCGCCGGCGGCGCGGCGGGGGCGGGGGTGTCCGGGGCCGCGGCGCAGAGCGGGGCCGGGCCGCGGGCGGAGGATGGCATGGCGAGGGTGGCGGGGCGGGGCTTGGCGGAGGGCGACCAGGCCGCGGTGATGAGGTGGCGCGTCGCCGCCGAGGCTTGCGTGGCCATGGCCATGGCGGTGGCGCTCCAAGCTCGGTGGTTCTTGGCGAGAGAGGAGATGGGGAGAGGAGCGGAGGCCACACGCGCGCGCGGGAGATGGAGTGGTGTCTGGTGGGTGATGAGGAGGAGAGCTAAGCTAAGAGGTACGGGGGCTTGGGGTGGAGAGGGTGAGGGGAGTGGATAAGGTGATATGGCGATATGAGGCCGGCCAATGGGGAGTGCCGATTTTGATACGGCCGGGGTCTCCGCACCGCCGCCACACACATATGCAAAGCAGACGCACGGCCGGGTCCCGGATGCCAATGACATGGCATGCAGCGGCCACGCGACGATCGATGTTCGGATCACTCTCCACGAGTCCACGGGTCGTATGTTCCGTTTACGTTCATGGGGCGACGGGCGAAGCAAGAAAAATGCACCGGCGGTGCCACATTTTCGTTTTACGGAAACGATAAATCCCAAACATTCGGTATTTGACTATGGCAAAACAAACGTTTTTTATGATAATTTTAGTGATGCAAGGATGGCAAGTTTAGTTGACACGCACGGTAATTTTCAGGCAAAAAATACACTAAGCATGGATTTACCATGCTTACCAACTAAACTTGCATTCTCGTATCATTAAAATTGCTACAAAAATGTTCATTTTTTCATGGTCAAAAAAAATAACGTACAGGAGTTATCGGGGTCCTTTTTTAACATAATACAGACGCAGACGTTCATACATACGCATATAAACTCACCCATATGAACGCACACATGCACATCCTATCCCTATGAACGCCTTCTATAGACTGAGTAGTGAGTAGGCACATCATCTTGAGATTGACGAAGTCACCATAGACGCCTCCATAGTCGACGGAAATGTCTCCTCTCATTGAACGAGTATCGCCGAAAAGTCTAGAATAAATCCAAAAAAATGTGAGCACCAATGTCAAGTCTCGGACTTGAACCATGGTGAGCTGGTTCCACCACAAAGGACCTAACCATCTGAGCTAGGCCCGGTTCGCAAGTTTCTGAATATAACAGTGTCACATTTCTAAATATAACGGTGTCACAAGTTTTTTTTTGAAACAATAGGTCTCTCATTGATATATATACATTAAGGCCCTCCTTTGGTTTGGAGGTATGTAGGAATTCTATAGGAAAAATTCCTTTAGGGTCTTTTGATTTGTATGATAGAATCATATTTGCATGGAGGAATTCTACCTACCATCTACATTCCATGGGAAAATAAATATTAGCCTAGCCTTAATGGGAAAATTCCAATGATGTTAACCAAATGGGCATATCTTTTTTCATTCCTATTCATAGGATTTGAGATACAGGTCATCTCATTTCCTTGATTTCCCTATTCCTATAACTTTTCTACCCTATGAACCAAATAAGGAGCCTCCTTTGGTTCATAGGAATTTCGTAGGAATTGTGAAGGATGTGAATTTTGTATGGAAAAAAATATCATTTGGAGCCCTTTTGTTTGTAGGAATGGATCCTTATTCATATGTAGGAGAGGAACCAATCTTTCACATTTAAAAGAAAAAACATTAGATTAGGCTTAGTGGAAAATTCCTATCCTATGCATCAAACGACATCTTTTTCCCTATAGGAATTGAGATAGATGTTATCTCACTTCCTAGATATTCCTATCCTATGAACAAGGGAGGCATAAAGGAACTGAAACGATGAGTGGTAATCCAGCGATGATTCCAGGTTCAGCGTGCATATTTTCGTTGTCAAATGACATTCAAGAGCTCATGGGAAGAAAAAATCGAATATACACCGTGTTTCTTTAAGTTTCTTTGGCAGTCAATCTTTTTTGCCATGACCTCCATGAATGTTATTTGACCACACTATTTGCACTCAGCTACCTCACCCAAGCATATTGAACGCTTAAAATATTCAGATTTTTTTGATATTTTTACTATTTTCTTTGAATTTATTCATGAATGGGTGTAAATGATCCTGGGCTCCGAATCGTAGTTTTTACTCGGATAACTTGACAGTGGCATGCAACGACCACACAAATGGTGTTAAGGCATATCTCTCTCGAGGTAATTTTGGTGATTGATGACAACATGTTTGCGGACTAATCATGTGCTTTGAGTAGTTCACAGATTCATCCTTGGCACGAGACGTTTTCTTCCCTTCGGAGTGTCGTTCAAGACGGTGTAGCTCTTTCGTTTCTCTTTTGGTGGACTAGTTGCGTAGAGGGCACCGTACTATCAAGAGGGGGTCCGCTGGGGTATTGCATGGGTGGAATCAACACGTACACGTCAGTTTCTCACCCTCCAAGCTCTTCCACTTCATTGGAGAGATCTCTTCTCTTTTCTTTGTCCTGTCTGGGTTCCAGCGGTAGTACCGCGCAACCCAGCGGTAGTATCGTTGAGGAGTCACAAGCGGCAGTACCGCTCCGCAGTGGTAGTACCGCCCGTGACTCCACAGCAGTACTATCGCTGGCCTGCCTGGCACCACCGCCTCGTCCTCAGCCTCGATGGAGAGATCTTCTCTCTCTTCTGTGTCCCAGCGGTAGTACCGCACTACCAGCGGTAGTACCGCCGAAGGGTCACAAGCGGTAGTACCGCTCCGCAGCGGTAGTACCGCCTGTGACCCCGCAGCTGTACTACCGCTGGGTTGTCTGGCTCCTACCGCCTCGACTCGAGGGCTCTTTTTCTCATGTCGGGTTTTGCGGCACTAGTTGCGGTTGTAGGGACGGTAGTACCGTTTCGGAGAGGTAGTACCGTCCTTACCACCGCGGTAGTACCGCGCTGGGTTCAGATCCCTGCTGCTCTTCTCTGTGTGGCAGTACCGCTCGCTGGAGCGGCAGTACCGCTGGCTCAGCGGTAGTACCACCCCCGTTAGCGGTACTACCGCCTTGTGCGGGGCTGGTTGGTGGAGCAACGGTTGGATTGTTGCCCCCACTATAAAAGGGGTCCCCTTCTTCTCCTTTGACCCACCTCTTCCCCCTCAAGCTCCATTAATGCTCAAGCTCCATTAAATGCTCCAAGCTCCATTTTCGCCTGATCTATCTCTCTAGCCAATCAAATTTGTTGATTTGCTCGGGAGTGGTTGAGAAGGCCCCGATCTACACTTCCACCAAGGGATTTTCGATTCCCTCACTCATCCCTAGCGGATCTTGTTACTCTTGGGTGTTTGAGCACCCTAGACGGTTGAGGTCACCACGGAGCCATAGTCCATTGTGGTGAAGCTTCATGGTTTTGTTGGGAGCCTCCGATTAAGTTGTGGAGATTGCCCCAACCTTCTTTGTAAAGGTTCGGTTGCCGCCTTCAATGGCACCAATAGTGGAATCATGGCATCTAGCATTGTGTGATGGCGTGAGGAGAATACGGTGGCCCTAGTGGCTTCTTGGGGAGCATTGTGCCTCCACACCGCTCTAACGGAGACGTACTTCCCCTCAAAAGGAAGGAACTTCAGTAACACATCCTCGTCTTCACCGGATCCACTCTTGGTTATTTCTTACCTTTACTTGTGCAAGCTCTTTAGTGTTACTTCTTTTGCTTGCTTGTATGCTTGTTGTTATTGCATCATATAGGTTGCTCACCTAGTTGCACATCTAGACAACCTACTTTGATGCAAAGTTTAATTTGGTAAAGAAAAGTCAAAAATTGGTAGTTGCCTATTCACCCCCCCTCCTCTAGTCAACCATATCGATCCTTTCAATTGGTATCAGAGCCTCGTCTCTTTATTAAGGACTTTACCGTCCAAAGAGTATGGTTGATGCCGTAGACGGTGTGGAGGAACACTCCGGTGTGAATCTGACCTCGTCTACGGGCGATGGGGGAACCTCGGTCTCTTGTGAGGAGTTCAATGTGGCCTTGGAGACATTCAAAACCTCCATGATGACCGAGGTTGAAAGCATGTTTACTAAATTTCTTGAGGGGCTTAAACTATCCACCGCACCGTTGAAAGTGGGTGACCCCACCGACAAGGTGACGGATGCTATCCCCGACAAGGGGGAAGCTAGTAGTGAAAAGGCTCCTTCTTCTAGTGGTAAAAATGGCACCGGCATCTTTGCTCATGTGGAACCACCACTTGTTTATGGTGGACCGGTTCCTTCTACTCATTTGAATCATGCCGGTCCTCCCCCTAAGATTGTGAAAAATGAGGACTTTGATTCTTGGGTTTACCACTTTAAACGTCATTTAAATCATGTGAACACTAACCTTTGGAGAATCATTGAAGAAGGTTTCTATCTGCATGATCCAAGCAACTTCACTCCTCGAGAAGCCGTGGATAATCAATTCAATGAGAATGCTCTCTTCATTATTCAAGATGCAATTCCACCCGAAGACCTACCTCATCTTCGTCCCTTCGCCTTGGCCAAAGATGCATGGCATTGTGTTGTCTCTCTCTACCGAGGAAGCGCAAGCATTCAACGCTCCAACTATGAAGTGGTGCAAGATGAGGCCGATGAGTTTGCAATGAAAGAAGATGAAGAACCTCGTGAGCTTTATCGGAGAGTAACCAAACTCGCGGTCTCACTACGAGATCACGGGAGCAAGTGAAGGAAATATGCCCTAGAGGCAATAATAAAGTTATTATTTGTTTCCTTATATCATGATAAATGTTTATTATTCATGCTAGAATTGTATTAACCGGAAACATAATACTTGTGTGAATACATAGACAAACAAAGTGTCACTAGTATGCCTCTACTTGACTAGCTCGTTAATCGAAGATGGTTATGTTTCCTAACCATAAACAAAAGAGTTGTTATTTGATTAACGGGATCACATCATTAGGAGAATGATGTGATTGACATGACCAATTCCATTAGCTTAGCACCCGATCGTTTAGTATGTTGCTATTGCTTTCTTCATGACTTATACATGTTCCTATAACTATGAGATTATGCAACTCCCGTTTACCGGAGGAACACTTTGGGTGCTACCAAACGTCACAATGTAACTGGGTGATTATAAAGGAGTACTACAGGTGTCTCCAAAGGTACATGTTGGGTTGGCGTATTTCGAGATTAGGTTTTGTCACTCCGATTG